CCTAGGGCCACGAAACGTGTGAGAGGTGCGCCGAAATGGAGGTGGAACTGCATGCGGACCCTGCCACTGGGGCCTTTGCTGGAGCTCCCTATGGAGCCACGAAGCGCTGTAATGGGTGGGTGAAACGCAAGGAGGGGGGAGGAAAGGGAGGAGGAGGGAGGAGGGGGAGGGGGGAGGGGGCAGCGGGAGGTGGACACGCGGGGCGCTGTCTCTTCAAAACGAGGACCCAACACCACAGGATGGTTGGGAAAAAAACAGCCACTGATGAACAATTGCTCAATTTGTGTTGGAGTCTTGTTTGGACTTTCGCTGATCGTTGCTTCAGCTTTGTGTGAGCTTTCTTTCCGTTTTGTTTGGGTTGTGTTGGAGCTTTGCTGCAGGCTTGTGTCTGTGTTGTCGGACTTTGGTTGAGCTGTGTTTGAGATTGTGGTTGAGCTGTGTTGAGTTTCGTTGGAAGTTGGCTTGAGATCTGTTTGATATTGAATTTTGTTTGAAATGTCTTGGAGATTCGGCTGAATTGTGTTTGAACTTTGTTTGGAATTTTGACGGGATTTTGCTTGAGTTTTGTTTGAACTCCGTTTGCGGTTTATTGGAGCTTTGTTTGAGCCGTGTTTGAAGTTTGTCTGAGCTTCTGCTGAAAATATGTGTGCTATATTGAGTGTTGTTAGAGCTTTGGGGGAGCTTGATTTGAAAATTGTTTGAGCCTCGTTTGAGCTTACAACGACGACGACGACGACGACGACGACGGAAGCGGCGACGGCGATGGCGACGGGCGGGGCACTGAATGCAACTTTCACGCGGAGATGCGACAAAGTCGGGGGAACATATATCACAACCGCCAGGAACACCGTTCGGGCGGGCGGAACATGAAGTGCACGATTCGCTCACTGATGGGGCATTCTGTCGGGCGGGCGGGCCGGACATTAAATGCAATCCTCACTCTTTAGTAATGGGACAAGGTTGGGGAACATATATCACAACCGCCAAGAACGCCGTCTGGTCGGGCAGGACTTTAGAATAGACCCTCACTCAGTCATGGGGCGCCAGCATCATCATCATCATCACCACCACCTCCACCATCGTCGTCATCATCATCATCGACATCATCACCAACACCACCTTCACTCTTTCATGGGAGGTCAACATCATCATCACCACCACCTTCACCATCGTCGTCATCATCATCGACATCATCAGCAGCATCATCATCGTAGTCAGCCCAAGACGGTCTCAGGGACCACCCGTAGGTGCTCGGGGGTGGGCAGGCACCTATGCGACAACGGCCACGTCATGCGCCACCATTCGAATAGCGCCCCACATACCTCACTTGTCCCACTTGCCGCGCTCGCTGGCGTGGGCTCGAGCTTCGTATAAGCTTACTTTGATCTTTGTTGTCATTTTATGTATGCTTTGTTGAACTTTGTTCGATACATTTGCTTTGCTTCTTTTTGGATACTTTTGGGGTTTTGCTGGAGCATTGATTGAACTTTGTGGTTGAGCTTTGTTCCCACCCCTGGTCCCAATCACGGGGAGGAATCGCCGCCCCCCAGTTCGGGTTGGAACACCCCCCTCCTCTGTTTCGAATGGAAGGAGGGACGGGGGTCGCCTCCCCCCCCCCCAGACCGAACAGGGGCGGGGGGCTGTCACCCTTCCTCCCCCCTCCCCCGGTCCCAACCGGTGGGGGGATGACGGACACTGCCCCGCCCTTCTTTTTGGATTTGCGCGCGGGTGATCGTCTGCCGAACACTCCTGCCCGTGGCGCCGAAACGACGAGCGAGGGGCCCGAAGAAGGGCCGAAAGAAGCGAGGGACGGACCAGGACCCGAACAGAGCCGAGCGAACCTGGAGGGGGCTTGCCAAACAGTGTGGGCAGCGCTGTCAAATCGTTGAAACGCACTTGCGCGCAGGCGGGGGGGGGGGCCACACCCTGCCGCTCGCGCTCGATGGCCGCGCGCGCATGGCGAAATCCTTCCAGAACCTTCATGACTGACACGTGGACGCAACAATCGCAATCGGCGTGGTTAGCATGGGCGCCATCATTGGCCTTGCCATCGTCATCGTCATCGTCGGCACCAGCATCGTTGCTTCCATCATCGTGTCTGCCGCTGTCGACGTCGACATGGTACGCTGCCCGCCCGGATCACCGCCTCGCAGTGAAGTGCCCGCGCGTCAGCACGGCCTGCGAGACGCGATGGGAAGTCCCTAACGGTCAACGGAACTGCGGCCGCGTCGGTCGCGTCGGTCGCGCCAGACTAGCCGGCCGCTCTGCGCGCGAGCCTGCGTGAGCTAGAGCGCCCGCAGCGAAGTGCCAGCCAGCGCCAAGCAGTCATGACAATCGCCGCTGCATGGGCTTCGCAAACCAAGTTGCGGGCGGGTGGGTGTGATGATTGCGCGAGCAGTGGAGTTGACAATTTACAATTCGGCATGGTGAGTTGTACCCTTAAATTGCACCACATAGCTTGCACAGCATAGATAGCACCGCATAGATTGCACCACATGGAATGTACAACATACACTGCACCACATAGGAGTGCACAACATATATTGTGCCACATAGGCTGCACCACACATATTGCACAGCATATAATGCACAACATATATTGGATCACATATATTGCGCCATGCGGACTGCACCGCACATATTGCACCACGTGCTCAACGTAACTTGTACCACATACATTGCTCCACACGGGTTACACCACATATTGCACCACATAACAACGCCACTTAGACTGCACCACATAGCTCGCACAACATTTGACAAACCACATAGATTGCACCACATGGATTGCGCATCAAATATTGCACCACATAGATTGCACAACATACACTGCACTACACAGCTTGCACAACGTATATTGCTAGGAAGCACACTGCATGGAGCCAACGCTGGTAAAAATTTTGATGTCAAAAACCTTGGGGTGCATTCTTTGTCGAATATTTGAGGTCCCTAAGGTACCGTAGAGCCTCTGTGGATTCCTGGGGCCATCGGGGGTTCAGAAAATTCACAGAAGCACCTGCTGGCAGGCCGATGTCTTACGTGATGTGCCTACGGTTAGGTCGGGCATGTCCCCCTACGGGAGGATGTTCGAGGAAACATTTAAAATGATCAGAAACACAAACAAAAATCAAACAATGGTCACCTGACTACTTGTAACTATTTTTCGATATTCTTCTGGTACTGGGACAGGCCCGCCTGAAGCCTTCGGCACCTCCCTCTCCACGACGGATGGGCATGCTGCAACGAGTCCACCGATGCTCAGATCTTAGCGGATCTGGTTTCCCTAAGTCGCTGGAAAAACCGATCCCCACCCTGGGTCCCCACGGCATACCATGTCTGGCACGTCCGAACCGAAGGGCAACAGCGGGGAAGCCATCGAGCTGGACTCGGCGACACACCGCCGAGGAACCGGCGATCAGCCCCCGATAACGAACCCGCACGTCCCTAGGCGGCATCTGGCCCCTATCGGCGACGAGCGGGCGTTTGGGGATCGATGCGACCCCCCAAGGAACCGATCGCCCTAGGGATGCCCCTGACGAAAAACGGGCAGGCAAAAACGTGACGATGCCCAGCAGCACATGCTGCGCAAAACTGACAGCGGCCGCTGTTGGGCAGACACCTCTTGGCCCAATGTGGGCCACGTCCGCGGCGACGGCGGCGAACGAGTCCTGATCAGAACGGATCGGAGCTGGCGTGCTTCGTCACAATTTTTCAGTCCCCATCTCGATCTTTCCGAGAACCAAGGCCACGGTACCGGCGATGTTGCTGAGCGGTGATGTTGAGAACCAACTTGTAGGAATCACGATCCGCACTTTCCTACACTTCCAATGTGCAAACGTATCGGACGAAAACGACACAGCGAACTTTAGGAAAGCACGAGCCACGCGTTCCCACAAAACCAAAACCTACATCGCCGTTGCCTACCTCTCCGTTGGCGTGTCTACGGGAGAACTGGAGGTCCCCCACGCGGTGACACGCCGTGCGCTGACCTCGTGACCCCCCAACGACTTCGCCGCACAGCCCGTCACCGCACGACTCTGGGCCAGTGGGGCCCCAATCACCCGAGACAATTTCGGAGAACGACCCAAGTCCCAAACCGGCGGGGTCCTCCTCATCCTCCTCCTCGTCCTCCTCCTCTTCCGGACGGTGTGGTCACGGACTCCCGAGAAAACTTGGCTCGTGAAGCGTGGTGGTGCCGGTATGTTTCCCAGACATCAGACGACGCGATTTGTTCGCAGCATGGTTCCGTGGAGGTCTGGAACTCTTCGTTGGGACTGGTTCCCTACCCCGGAGTAGTGTTTGACAGCGCCGCGGCGTGGCAAAAACTCCCAGACCCCGAAAACTGCCAACAACTGTCCCCGTGATTTGCCCGCATCGAAAAGAAGTATTCTAGGCTTGTTCTATGGGCCTTCCTGGAGCCACTCGCTCCACTCATGCCTCGACGCTGCGACGAACGTCCGTCGACCTGAGTCAATCGAATTTGCGTCGAAGAGGGGTCGAACTTGAGTCGATCTACGGTCGGGAACTTTTGCTCAGCCAGTGGCGGCCCTGGCGACGCGCTATCCGTTGCGAACGGATAACCTGTCGCTCTGATCCACAGGGCGGGAGGCGGGGAAATGGACAGCGTGCCGCGCCACAGCGTGGTGGGCCAGAACCAGAGGAGCGACAAACTGTCCCGGAGTTCCCGACCGCAGATCCGAACTAGAGTCAAACTTCTTCTTCTTTCTTTCGACAGAGCGTGGGCCATGGCCCGCCCGAAGACCCAGTGATCTAAACTCAGGAGGGTAACAGCGCAGTTGCCAGCCACCGCAAGCCCGCTTCTAGTGCCAAGGCCCGGCCTCGAACGCCGATGCGAGCCCTTGAACTGGCACCCCTTCTCTCCATGCTGCGGTGTGCTTGAACCGACCTGTGTCCCCGTCCCCAGAGGCGTGAAGACAGCAAGACCAATGGCGCCTTCGCCGTTGCGCCGTGGGCCGCCGTCGGTGCACAAACGCAGGCTGCGGTTGCTAGTGCCATCCGCGGGAAGCCCGGGGCCGTTCGACCATGACCGTCGCTCGTCCAGCGCTGCATTCACGCAGTGGTCGGCGATGGCGTTGAACTCGCGCAGGGCCCACAGGACAAAATCCGAGGCATCATGCAGAGGCCGCATGCCATGCGAATGCAGTCGGATAATCATGTGCGAGATACGCCGGAACACTGGCACGTGACGATCCGATCGCATTTCTGCGCGTCCGGCCAACGTCCCCGCCAAGGCCGCACAATCCACCTGAATCCAGAGGCGTCCACCCTCCGTTTGCCACGCATTGTCCAAGGGGTGCGGCTGCATCATCGGCGGCTGGATCACCACGGCGGGCTCCCGCGGAGAATCCACGAATCGGAAATGAGCGGCGCCTCCGGCGCATTCTCTGGTGTCTTCCGCAACGCGCGGGAGTTTCCATGCAGAACAACATGAATCTATGAACTTGTTACCTTCATCCACTCCGCCTCTGAGTTGTGAGAATCCCCGTGTAGTCGCCAATGCACTCCGTAAACATGCACGAACGGCGATTCCCAAGAGAGCTTCTGTTGACCGCCGTGGGTGTGCTCGTAGCCTGCCTTCCGTCGTTGGCTGCGGGTGCTCACGAAGCAGACGGTGTCCCACCAGGCTCTGGGCCGGTAGTACGAGCGCTGGCCAGCGGGTTGTCTCCGAAATCGCACGGTGACGACTGTTCCTGCCACGCTGGCTTGTAGATTAACTTAAGGATCATGTGGTGTATCATGCTCACTTTGGCCCGGCGCATCCAATCCATGATCTTAGCAACCGTGCGTTGGTTGAATAACATTGGCGATTCCTCTGGCCGCCTTCTGAATCTGAACATATGTCTAAGCTTCTCCAACTCCCAACTTCGCATCGACCGCAATATCCCTGCTGAAACATGCCAAGACCCTGCCCCGAAGATCGCCGACGTTGCCGGGCACTCGTGCCAAGCGCGAACTAGAGTCGAATAGATCGGTCACTGCACTGACCTTGCAGACGTGCTGCAGCGGATTCTTGCATGGATTTCTACCAATGCCAAGCCCCGAAGCGGCGAGCGAGAAACGAAATGATTCCGCGTGGATTCCTGGAAAAAAGATCCGCACGGAAGTCACTTCAAAATCCGGAGCGACATTCTCCAGGACACTCTGGGCCCATCCCACTGTTTTCCGAGCGAAATCCGGTCCGCGATGTTGGCGCCATGCGATCCGTGATGTGATGGGCCATACTCCACCACCACCACCATATGCAGGAGGAGGAGGAGGAGAAGGAGGAGGAGGAGGAGGAGGAGAAGGAGGAGGAGGAGGACCTCCTCATCCTCCCTTCTCCCCCGTCCTACACATGGTAGCGGTGGTGGACATCTGCCCATCATGATGAGCATCCAAAGCTCGGGAGCGACCAAGAGGGGGGTGTCCGAGAGGGGGGTGTGCAAATCATGACCAGCGGCGTGTGCGCAGCCCAGCGGGGGGACCAGGGACGTCATGAACTAAGAAGAGGCGCCATGAAACCTGGGGAAATATCATGGCCCCCGCCATGATATCCCCGCCCCCCCCCTACAGCCGGGGCGTTGACCTAAGGAACCCTAAATAAGGAACGATGCCCCTTTCCTCCACACGTTGAACTTCGATTTCCTGTGGAAAACCCAAGGCAAACCCGAGGCAAGCTGCGACACAACTGGGGATCACGGAGCCCCTCCCCAACGAAAAGGGTTCCTTTTCGATGCGGACAACCCGAGTCCTCACCACCCCCCTCTGCCGCCCCCGAAAATAGTGGCGGTCGCCCTCCCGCCTCCGGGGCCAGCGCCACCGGGCGCGTCCAGCGGCGCAGCTGCTCCAGCGGCTCCGGCGCGAACAGCTCCCGCCTCGGGCGGCGCTTCACGGGGGGGCCACCATCCACGGTCTTGGCATCGCTCGGACGTGTGCATTTTTCCTTCGGCGAGGACCATCGAGGAGCATCCTTGATCATTTGGCGAAAAAACAACGCACGAAACCAAAAAAACACAGGGAATGGACGTCCGAGGGATGGCCAGCGGTGTGACATGGCGAGCCCTCCGCCCCCCGAGGAGGCCCGAGATCGCAACCAGGCGCCCAAGAAGAGACCACCAAAAAACCCCACGAGGCTCCAGAGAGGCCCCCAAACGGTCACGGGGCCTCCGAACTGCCTCCAAGACGCTCCCCAGAGGCTTCCCAAGAGACCCCTGCGGGCGTCCAAGGAGCCTCTGACCCACAAGCCAGGCACGGTGACGGCCTGGCCGAATGCCACTGGACTGCCAACAGAGGCTTCCAAAAGGCTCACATGATTGGTGGGTATCGTTGACCCCTTCCCTCTTCTGGGGGTCGGCGGAATGTCGACAGCATCTTGCATCCGCCCGCCCACTTGGCTGAGGGGCATGTGAAACTTAACTGCGAGAGCTCATTACAGGGCTTTCGCCCACCCATTACCCCCCCCCCCAAAAGCCTCCGCCATTCCGCCGCCCAACTGCTGCATCGACCCTTTTCAAGCCCAAGAAGGCTCCTGGACGGGGGCGGCAACACTCCAAGATTCGCGCCCAAATTGTGGGGATTTCAGCCGCGTAAGTTTCTCTTTGGACTTGCGTGGTCCTTACTCACTCACTCACTCACTCACTCACTCACTCACTCACCTCCTCCTCCTTATCCTCCTTCCTCATGCCGAAGCACGCGTCCACACATACATCCTTACTTGCGAACGCGTCTTTCTCAGCGAGGCCCATTCAACGCCATCAGGTTCACCTTTACTCGGGCACACTCATAGTCAGATTCGCTCATACGTAAACTCACTCATCTTCGAACTCACTCAAAACCCAAACCACTACCGCCCAAACAAACTCACACTCAGCCGCACTCGAATTCAGACTCACCCGCTCTCAGACTCACTCGTGCACAGGCTCAACTGTCTTGAGGCTCACTCATACTCGGACTCGTATTAGCCATACGCGCACTCATATCCAATGAAAACCAGGCTCACTCACACTCACTCAGACCCACTCGCATTCAAACTCACTCGCACTCACACTGTTTCATATTCAGACCCGCCCGTGCTCCGACCTGTGATACTCAGACTCACTCAATCTCAGGGTCAGACATACCTGGATTCACGCACACTTAGACTGATTCACACGCAGATCACTCACGCTCAGACTCACTCGCCCTAAGGCTCACACAAAAGCGGCTGCCGCGATGTAGCATGCGTGGGATTCAGGCACCCAGGGTGCCAGCAGGCGCCGCGAGTAGAACGCCAGAGAGCGGGCGTAGCAACGCCGTTCACTTTTGCCCGAGCTGCCGCAATGAGACGTCGTCGTCACTGTCGCGCCCGTCGTCTACGCGGACTCGCTGTCGACCCCAGATTCTCACAGGCAGGGCTCCTCAACGGGACGTGACTGAAGGATGAGATGCACATGCGGGAATCTCAGCGTCACATGATTCTCAAGAAACACTCCCCATATCTCGAATGTTCGTCCTGTAGAGGGGCATGCCCGGCTTCAGGCGATGTCTGTAGACGCATCCGCACCGAATGTGCATGTGTTGGGTCCGTGGCGGGCGGCTGGTTGGGAAGGTTGGCCTCAACCTCACGACGGACGGCCCCCCCTATACCCCGTCCGGCGATGGAGCCCGTCGACTCCCTCTCAGCAGAAGGATTTGCTCGTCAACTCTCTCGCGTAGTGAAAAGATTTGGCCGTCGCCTCTGTCTTGACGGCCTCCTTCCGACTTGGCGAACCCCCATCGACAGATGGTTAAAGGCGCCTTCGGTCTTGACGGACGCAGTGTCGGGGCGCCGAACAGACGGTTCCTCTCGCCTTGACGAGCGGAGCGTTGGAGCCGAATTGACGATTGCCTTCGTCTTAGCGAGCAACATGTTTGGGCCGAGTTGACGTCTATTTCGTCTTTACCATTGAGGTCAACATATACATACATACACACATACATGTTTAAACATATGTATATCTATACACATACTTTATGTCGGTGCGGCATCACATGTGCCAATGTTCGCTTGTGGCTAGACGGTGGGGACGGTATTTGGCATAGGCCCCAGTACATTGGACAGTGGTCTTCTGAGAAGCAGGTCGACTTGGCCCTCCGAGCGGTATCGGTGCCGTGGCCTGACCGCCCCCGAGGCCGCCCAAGCTCGCATCTCGCAATCATCCACGACACGTGCCAGAGCCACGCAGAAGAAAACATGCGCAATCACAGCAAGAGCCTTCTTTGGCTTTCCCGTTGCGAGACGCCCGACCGCCACAGCACGCCCCCGGCCCGGGCGCAGAGGCGGCGCAGCTCGAGCGCGTCGTCCCGGCCACAGGAGGGCGGGCACCCGAAGAGCATCGGGGGGGCGCCCTCCGCGCCGTCCCCGCGCCCGTCGCGGAAGGCGGAGAACAGGTCCTCTTCGGGCAGGCCCCTCGGTCCACAAGAGAAGTCACGACGAGAAGGGTTCGGCCCATTTGGGCAGCAGGTCGGGCGTGGCCTCGTGGAGGGGCGGTAAAAGGGGCGGGAGAGACGTGCACCTCTCGTGCCCCTTGTTGGGCCCCAGAGAGCCCCTTCTGGGCACAAGAGGTGCACGTTTCTGCACCCCCTCCGTGCATGGCCCCCGCCACGCAGCGCCCGAATGTTCGACCATGTTCGGCCTCCGGGGGCCCTTGCTGGGCCCCGGGCCCGTCCAAAAACCCTACTCGGAATGAAGGTCAGGTCTCAGGGAAGGGGTCGAGACCTCTGGGGGTCGACGTTGCCAACAAAATTCACGACCTTGGGCGCTGCAGTACTTCCACACTGGGCGTTTTCGCCATGTCGTGTGCCCCCAGACCATCCCAGATCGACCCGGCTCGAGAAATGCCGCAGGGAGATTGGATGGAGCTCCAGTCATGATGCTTTTGGCGATGTTGCCATTGTTTTGCAGCGTCGCAACTCAAGGGCACGTCCAACGAGGATCGTTCTAGTGCCAGCTTCTCGACTCCTGGGACGCGACAGCTTTCTGGAGCGCACCGTATCAATTTCATATTTTCTTGCAATCCTGGGGAGGGGCAATCGAATCGCCCCCAACAACCGACCCCGCGGATCCCTGGTCCAGGAGGCAGGGTCCCGTGGGCCTTCTAGGCCTCCTCAGGCACCAGGAAGCGAGAACGAGACGCCCAAGTACGAGCACTGTTTGGGGACAGATGCTCATGTATTCACATGTGTGCCAGCGCAGGCCCAAAGCAGTAAGTTGTGCCATTGTGGATGTCTAAGCTACGTGGTCCAAGCTGCAATTTAAAGCTATGTGACACGAACTGCATGGTGCGAGCCATGCGATGCGAGCTATATCGCGCAAACTGTGTGGTGCAAGCTATGTTGTGCAAGCTACGTGGTGCAAGCTGTGTGCTGCAAGCTATGTGCTGCAAGCTATGTGGTGCAAGCTATGTTGTGCAAGCTATGTGGTACAAGTTATGTTGTGCAATACACGTGGTGCAGGCCATGCCGTGCAGCGTGCGTGGTGCAAACTAGTTGTTGCAAGGTATGTGGTGAAATCTGTCGTGTACGCGATGGTTTGCAGAACGCGTGGTGCAAGACATGTGGTGCAATCTAGGCGGTGCAAATTACATAGGCCAGCCTTTGTGGTTGAATTGATATGGTGCATTATACGTGGAGCTATGTGGTGCAAGCTATGTGGGGCAATGCCTGTGGTGCCAGCTCCGTGGTGCAATGTATCTGGTGAAAGCTATGTGGTGCAACGGCTATGGCGCAAGCAATGTGGTGCGAGCTATGCTGTGCAAGCTCTGGAGGGAGGCTGTGCGATGTAAGCTGCACTTGGCAATCTACGTGGTGCAGGCAATGCAGTGCAAGCTGTGCGGCGCAAACGAGGTGTGTGTCTCGACCTCCGTGGCGCAAGCCATGTGGCGCAGGCTCCGCGGTGCAATCCATGCGGGCGCAAGCTGCGTGGCGATGCAAGCTGCAGAACGCCAGGCGGGCACACAGACTTGCAGATGGAAGATGCAAGGTCTATATGATGGTCTGTACACACCTATAGATACACACATATACATGTACATATACATGCGTATCTATAGGCTAGCTTTACTTGCACCAATACACACTCATATACACCCATGTATATGTATGTTGATCTATGTCTGTGTGCATATATATATATATATATATATATATATATATATATCGGAGGTTGGGGGGTGAGATCGAAGTGGAACGGAGAGCCCCCCTACCGGGAAATCGATTTCGGTTTCGTGTTCGTGCGTGCCGTGCGGGCGAGGCGAAGCTGCGTGGGCGGGCGAGAGAAAGTCTCCTGTGGCTGAGGCGCGGCCGGACCAAATGTCTCCCTTCCGGGCGGCCGGGGCCCGCGGTGTCCCGCCGGTGTCCCGCTGGTGTCCCGTGTGGCTGAGGCGCGGCCGGACCAAATGACTCCCTTCCGGGCGGCCGGGGCCCGCGGTGTCCCGCCGGTGTCCCGCCGGTGTCCCGCGGTGTCCCGCGGTGTCCCGCGGTGCCCCGCGGTGTCCCGCCGGTGTCCCGCGGTGTCCCGCGATGATGATGATGATGATGATGATGATGATGATGGTGATGATGATGGTGATGCCGATGATGATGATGATGATGATGATGATGCCGATGCCGATGATGATGATGATGATGATGATGATGTTGATGATGATGATGACGATGATGATGAGGGTGATGCCGATGATGATGCTGATGAGGGCGATGATGACGATGATGATGATGGTATGATGATGATGGTGCCCCGATGATGATGATGGTGATGATGTCGATGATGATGATGATGATGATGATGATGCTGATGGTGTCCCGATGATGAGGATGATGATGATCATGATGATTCTGTTGATGATCATGCCGATGACGATGATGGTGTCCCCATGATGATGAGTATAATGATGTTGCTGTTGATGATGCTGATTATGATTGTGTCCCGATGATGATGATGTTGATGATGATGAGGTTGATGATGATTATGGCGTCCCGATGATGATGATTATTCTGATGGTGATGATGATGATGTTGATGATGATGGCGTCCCGATGGTGATGATGATGATGATGATGTTGATGCTGATGTTGGTAGTGATGATGATGGTGCCCCGATGATGACGATGATGATGCTGATGATGATGTTGATGATGCTGATGATGACGATGTCGATGATGAGGATGAGATGATGATGATGGTGTCCCGATGATGATGATGATGATGATGATGATGATGATGATGATGATGATAACGATGGTGATCATGATGGTGTCCCGATGATGATGCTGCTGATGATGATGACGATGACTGTGTCCCGATGCTGCTGATGATGATGCTGATGATGTTGATGATGATGATTGTGATGATGGTGCTGATGATGATGATGATGATGATGATGGTGTCCCGGTGATGTTGATGACCGTGATGATGATGATGTTGGTGTTGATGATGCGGACGGTGTCCCGATTTTGATGATGTTGGTGATGATGATGTTCATGCTGATGTTGTTGTTGACGATGATGATGATGATGACGTTGATTGTGATAGCGGTTGTGATATCGATAGTGAGATCGATAGTGAGACCAGAAGTGATATCGATTATGAGATTGATTGTGAGATCGACTGTGAGATCGATAGTCAGATCAAGTGTGAGATAGATCGAGTGAGATCGATTCTGAGATCGATCGAGGGAGATCGATCGAGCGAGACCGAGACTGAGATCGATAGTGAGATCGATAGTGAGACCGATCGAGTGAGACGTTGGTTCCTCCCCCCCCCGAACCTCCTTATCATCCGAAGGGTGGTCGTATAGGTATATATATATATACCTATATATATATATATATATATATATACACCTATATATATATATATATATATATATATATATGTGTATGCGCCGATGCGGCGTGCGAGTTTAAGAAAGCTACAACCTGAGCTTCAGCTCTGCTGGGGGGGGGGCGGGGTGGCTCTGCCGGGGTAGGGGGGGAGAGGGGGGGGGGGTTCATGGGGTCCACCCTTTTCTCCCCCCCCCGGGAATCCAAAACCGCCCCAAGACGGGCCAAGGGGCCCAGGCGGCCACCAAGACGGTCCAGGAGGCGCCCGAAACGGCCAAAGAGCGCTGGCCTGAAGACGACCCAAGAGGCCTCCAGGACGCCTCAAGGAGATCCCAAGAGGACCCCCAAGAGGGCCCCAAGAGGGTACAATAATAAAGTTGCGAATAAGTTTTGAAGCATTTGAACATTATCGCCTTTTCCGTCTTAGAAGCGCCGAAGACGGTCCAAGATAGCCCCAATATCGCCCCAAGACAGCCCAAGAGGCCCACAAGAGGAGCCAAGATGGTCCAAGAGGGCCCCAATGTAGCCCTGGAGGCCCCCCAAGACGACCCCGAGTGGCCCCCAAGATGGACTCAAGAGGGTGAATCCGAACGGACCCTTCTAGTCCTCCGCCCCAAGATGACCACAAGAGCCCTCAAGATGCCCCCGAGGCGCCCCCCCCAAAGGGGCCCCCAGAGGCCCCCAAGAGGCCCCCAAGAGGCCCCCAAGAGGACCCCGCGAGGCCCCCAAGAGGCCCCAAAGGCCCCCAAGAAGCCCCAAGAACCAAGAGGCCCCAAGAGGCGCTCACTCGCGTGCTGCCAGGCCAGAGGTGCACGGCTTGACTTGGATTGCTCGGAAGCGAAAGCGATGAACGAAGAACCTTCCACCCGTCGCCGTCACCAGTCGTCGGTCGTCGGCAGCCGTTCGCCGTCAGTCGTCGTCATCGCCGTCGTCGTTGTCGTCGGTTCGTCGTCATTAACTCCTTCGTCGGTCGTCGTCGTAATCATCCCGCTCGTGGACCGTTGGTCGTCCGTTGTCGTCGTCATCGTCCATTTCAACAACACTAGCATCAGGAGCGCCCCAGATCGGCTGCACTGGTCGGAAGCCACTACAATATATATATATATATATATATATATACACATATATATACATGTATATATATATATACTTGTGTATGTGTAAATATATATATATATATATATATACATATATATATATATATATGTGTCCGCCGGCCCCCTCTGGGGGCGCAAGGCTGCGAAAGTGAGTGCGGTCTGCTGTCATGTGCTATGTGCTGTCATTTGTGAGTTGGCCTTTTGTCTCTCCAGTCCTTGTTCCCCTGCAAAATGTCTGCTAGGGGGACCCACCGCGCCAATGAGCAGCCAACGGGGAGGGGGGTGAACCTCACATCCTGGCTGCTCCGGGCCACCCCAGGATTCTCATGGTGACGCCACCGCGCGGCCAGAACGGCCCGAGAGGCCTCCAAGATTGCCCGAAGAGGCTCCGAAGATAGCCTCAGGAGCCCGAGACGGCCAAAGATGGCCCCAAGATGTCCCACGATGGCCCCAAGACGGCCGAAGATGCTGCCAAGACAGCCTAAGAGGCCTCCAGGAGGCCTCCCAAGAGGGCCCCACGAAGCAAGCATCAATGATTTCCCTGAAGTTTTCGAAGGCTTTTTGCCTTCTCACCTTTTCGGCTTTCCGACGCTCCGAGACGGACCAAGAGGTTCCCAAGATCGCCCCCTAGAAGCTCCCATGACGGCCCACGAGGCCCCCAAGACGGCCCCCAAGACGGCCGAAGAGGAGCCCAAGACGGTCCGAGAGGTGCCCCAGATGGCCTTAAGGGGCCCTAAGACGGTCCCAAGAGAGGCCCAAGAGGGAGCTCACGCGCCGAAAGACCGACCTTTCCGCCCCGAGAGGGCACCAGGCCCCAAGAAGGCCCCAATAAGGCCCCAAGAGGCCCCATGAGGCCCCCAAGAGGCACCCAAGAGGCCCCATGGAGACCCCCAAGGAACCCAAAATATGCCCCAAGAGGCTCCAAAACGGCTTCCAAGAAGCTCCAACAATAACCCGCAGACGCTGCCGAGAAGCCTGCCACGAGAAGCACACACTGCGCTATCCACGCAGCCGCGCGCACTAGTGATAGGGGAGCAGGCGGCAGAGGGCGCAGCTTCTAAGATTTTGTTCATACATATATATATATAGGTATATAAAAGGCACATATATATATATATATATATATATATATATATATATATATATATGTATCAGAGAGAGCGGGCCGAAGGGTCATTCATTGTCCCTGGGTGCGTGGTTGAATAGGGAATATGTGGTGGGAGCTCTGATTGTTGCGTTGGTGTTGTTGTTGTTGTTGTTGTTGTTGTGGTTATGGTTGTGGTTGTGGTTGTTGTTGTTGTGGTTGTGGCTGTTGTGGTTGTTGATCTTGTTTATTGTCGTCGTCCCACCCGCGATCCACCCCGCGAGCCACCCCGCGACCCGCCCGCGACCCACCCGCGACCCACCCACGACCCACCCCACGACCCATCCGCGACCCACCCCGCGACCCATCCGAGACCCATCCGCGACCCACCAGCGACCCACCTCGCGACCCACCCCGCGACCCACCCTCCAGGGATGAGAAACCACCTGGACCCGACAATTGACGTTTACTAAACGGCCCTGGGCGTTTAATAAACAACCCTGCCCTGTTCGATTCATTCTTTGTGTGTGTTTACTAATACTAAACGGCTTCGCTCGTCGGGGTGATTCTTATGGGGTGGATTTTTTCTGCCCTTTACCCCCGCGACCCACCCACGACCCAACAGCGACCCACCCGCGACCCACCCGCGACCCACTTGCGACCCACCGCGACCTACCCACATTGGTTTAGCGGAAAAATCGGCGCCTGCGGCGGGCTCGTTGTATAATTTGTGAAACTCAGGCGCCTGCGGCGGGCTTCTCCAGAGTCTCGCAAACTGCCGACGTCCCTACCGCCCCCTCACTCTTATCCGCATCTGCGGGGCGCTACGGTATATACACAGATGCGGGCGTGCATTGTCGACAACGGAGCTTGACGCAGAGGCGAGGGCGGGGAACGGAATGGTTTGGGGCCCCTCCGGGACCCCAAGTGTGGCCGAACTCGGCGCCTTCCCCCGCAACGCCGATCGCAGCACTTCGAGCCGAGTCCAGAGAACCCGTTCGCACACTTCCCCACGAGCTCTCGCGTTGCGAACAAAAATGGCAACATCGCGAACCAAATCACGCCCCGAGCCCTGGACCCCGGCCTCCCGCGCCCGCGTCCTCCTTCGAGCCCGACGTCGATCGTCTGTGAGGGCTCCGGGGCCCGACCACGAGCAAACACGCTGTGGGAAAACACACACACACTGACTGTGGGAAAACATATACACACACACACACACACACACACTGTGGGAAAAAAAACACACTGTGGGGAAAAAAATATTCACTGAGTTTTTGTTCCCACACACTGTGTCTGTGGGGAAAAAACACACACTGTGTTGTTTCCCGCAGTGTGTTTTTTTTTTCCCACGGTGCGAAAACAAACATTGCAGCGCCAGGGTCTCAAGGGCTTTCGGGGATCGTCTGGCCCGGGTCAACGCAGACCTGGGTCAGTCGGGCCTTGCAGGATGCTGCGGGATCCTGCACCCACGCCCGCGTCAGTGAGACCCTTGTTCTGCAGGATCCTGCAAGATCCTGCCGGATCCTGCACGCAAGCCCAGGTCAGTGCGAACCTGGACCTGCGGGATCCTGCAAGACCAAGCTCTCTGGCTGACCCCCGTTTGATGGACCCCCGTGACAAGGCTCCCGACCCAGACCTGCGACGTCCTGTTTTTTTCAGGGCGGCGCCCCCAGAAGTCCAAACCCTTTCCCCAGGACCGGCTTTTCAGCCTGACTCGTCTTTTGACGGTCCCGGGCACCGGCGAGGGCCCCCAGGGGCCGAAAATAGCGAAGAACCTTCGTCCTGAACTTTTTACTCGGCGGTGGACGAACCTCCCTTTAGTAGACCTCCCCTTAGTGATAACGGCCTCGGACCGAAATCGACAGACCTGGACCCGCAAAAATGACGGCCGCGACGCCCCCTCGCGAACCGAGAACGGCCGATTCGCCAATCGAGGTGTCAGGGTAGGAAGTCTGTCAACCACCGATTTTTGCGGCGCGACCCTCCGACCACATCTGCTCGGACCCCATCTGGGAGGCCTAGAGTTTGTTGACGGCCCCGGGGACCGGCGAGGGCCCCCAGGGGCCGAACATGGCGAAAAGCCTTCGTCCTGACCTTTTTGCGGCGCGACCCTCCGACCACGTCTGCTCGGACCCCATCTGGGAGGCCTAGACCTTGTTGACGGCCCCGGGGACCGGCGAGGGCCCCCAGGGGCCGAACATGGCGAAAAGCCTTCGTCCTGACCTTTTTGCGGCGCGACCCTCCGACCACGTCTGCTCGGACCCCATCTGGGAGGCCTAGACCTTGTTGACGGTCCCGGGGACCGGCGAGGGGCGCCAGGGGCCGAAAAGAGTGAACAGCCTTCGTCCCGAACTCTTTGCGGCGCGATCACGTCACGGGGAGCCCTCCCCGCCCACGGAGGTCCGGGAGCGCCGCGTGCTCCCGCACGGCCCACGCGAGGCCGCCCCGCCCGCTCTGCACGAGGCGGCAGAAGCCGCGCAGCGGGTCGCGCGCGAGGGCGCGCGGCCCGAGGCCGACGAGGTGCAGCGTGACGGGCTCGCAGAAGGGGCTCATGGCCAGGGGGCCAGATGCGAACCCATACCCCTGCCGCCCACGATTTCTGAGGGGGAGGGTGGGGTTCGCTTTGCTCCGGAGCTCCCGAACGAAGTGAACCCCACCCTCCCCTTCAGAAAGCGTGGGAGGTAGGGGTAGGGTTCGCATCTGGCCCCCTAATGGCGGAGACGGCCGCGGCCTTCGCGACCTCCTCGGAGATGTCCTCACGAATGGGCGGGAGGCAACTCTCTCCTGGGAGGTCGCCGCCGGAGGGGCGATAAGAGGAGGATGCTTAAGCCCCATAGGGGGAGGCTGTGTGGCGCCGGAGTGGGCCTCGGGTAAAGCAGGATGGAGCCTGACTGAGCGGGATCAAACTGACTACCTACCAGACCACCCCAACCCAACCCGAAGACCCGAATTTGACCCGAATTTCGGGTTGGGGGGGTACGGATTCCATGTGTTTTTTCAACGTTCCCCGAACCCCCCCCCCACCGGAAATGGAGGGCAAATCGAGGGCTTCGTGTTGGGTTGGGGTGATTTGGTGGGTGGTGACAAACGGGATCTAGCCAGATGAAGCGGGATTGAACCGGATTGAGCTGGATTTCGGACCTGGGCAAAATCAGAACTTGAATTCCCAGGAGTTGCATCCGAACGACAGGAGTGCGCCAGCGAAGCTCGACCAGAAGAAACCTTCCACCAGAAACCCAACCCCGAGAGACCCCAGGATGTTCATTGATTTCTGTGTGAGAGCGCCACGCTCTCCAGAGCAAGACCGTCGAAACCCAAGAAACCCAGGGCACCCTGGAGGCAGGCAGGCTGTTTCCTGGCATGGGGTTGCACTGCAGGGGGGCGCCCTCTACACACCCCGACCGATGCGGGCCAGGCCGATCCTCAGGTCGGGCATGTCCTCCAGCAGGCGGATTGTGGAGGACAGGTGAAACATGTTCGAAACATGCTCCACAATCGTCACAGATTCGTCACCGGGCTGCTGTGGGCTAGTTTTGAATATATTCCTCCTGTCGAGGGACAGGCCCGACTTACGCCTATCCTCGGGAGCGGCCAAGAGGGGGGTGTCCAAGAGGGGGGGGTGCAAATCATGACTGGCGGCATGTGCGCGGCTCAGCGGGGAGGCCAGGAACGTAATGAAATAAGAAGAGGCGCCATGAAATCTGGGGAAATATCATGGCCCCTGCCATGATATCCACCCCCCCTAGTCATCACCCCCCTCTTTGCCGCCCCCGATAGTCACAGATTCGTCCCCCAGCTGCTGTGGGCTAGTTTTGAATATTCCTCCTGCCGAGGGACAGGCCCGACCTACGCCTATCCTGGGCCTTCGAATCGGCGCACACGCCCTCCTTTACCAGCCTCGAACGTATCCCTATCCCTAAGATTGACACGCCGAAAGGCAATGACAATCTTAGGGATTCGCCCTCAAAAAATAAGGGAATCCCTAAGATTGGCATTGTGATGAGGAGGTGCCCAGCAAAGGGATAGGGATATGTTCCAGGCTGGTAAGAGGCGGCGGGACAGGCTCTCCAGAGAAGGCTTCTAGGCAGCGGCTCGGAAGGCCGGAAGCCCTCTGAGGGCCTTCTGAGAAGGCTCGCCCCTCTTCCGCCTCCTTCTCCTCCTCCTCCGCCGCAATCAGAAGTCACAGGCACTCCGGAGCACGAAGACGACGAGAAGACAGAAGAAGAAGACGCCGCCGACGCAGGATAACTCCCCACCCCTTCCACGACCCCCCCACCCCATAGACTTTCTGTGGTCCCCCCTCCCTCTCCTCCTCCCTCCCCTACATCATCCTACTCCCTTCCCTCCTCCTCCTCCGCCTCCTCCTCCTCATCCGCCTCCTCTGCCTTCCCCCTGGGCGCGCCGCCCACTCATAGGCATCGCCTGACCAGGCCCAAACCCCGCAGGCATGGCCTTGGCCCCACTGGCCGACTTCCGCACCCCCGTAGGTGGGTGTATATATATATATATATGTGTACACCTCTTGTATGCAGTTCTTTACATCTACATCTGTGCATATATATGTATATATATATATATAGTTGGCCCATGCAGGTATCTGTACGCGGTTCACTCCAGGGTTCGCGGGACCCATCACCACCAGGGGGGTTGGCTGGTGGGGCTGAGCTACCGTGGCCCGGTGGGAGTGGGGGTATCGGCTAGAGACGGGGCAGACCGAGGAGCGGTCAACATCGAATCTCGACCAATCGGACATGATCGGAGCATGCGCCAGGTCGGGCCGCATCGGCACAGAGTCTGGATCGACGAGGGTCGGGCGCGCCAGAAGGAATGGCGCCATGCGCGCCAAAAATGCACCTCGTCGAAACATCTAACTCGAATCGGATCGAGCTGGCCAGATCGAATATCGGACAGGATTGATCGGATCGACGGACCCTGCCCTCGCGGCCCCCATCGGGAACGTCCTCGGCCGTGAGGACCACGTGCTTGCACGCTGCCGCGAGCGCGATCGCAGGACGGCCGTCCGTGCCCTCGAAGGGCTCCCGAAACGCCCACAGGAGATCGAGGAGGTCGTGGATCTCCTCCAGCCCGCGGTCGTAGGGGCTCCGGGCCCACCGGGGCCTGGCCAGCCCCGGCGCCACGGGCACGTCGGCGTCCACCGCCGCGGCCGCCGTAGTCGCGCGGCGGCCGACGCTCGGACCACAGCTCGGAGGCCGTGGGGCCCCCGACGAAGCGCACGGTGTGCACCGCCTCCGGCAGCGCGAGCGGGTCGCCGCACTCCACCGCCTGCAGCAGCTCCTGCGCCGTGGGCAACACACGACGGACACTGCTTGGCCGGCGTCGGCTCCTGGGGGCCCTCACCCTGCCGCGGGACCGTCCCAGAAAAACGATTCGGGATGACAAGCGGGTCACGGGGGATGGGTCAAGAGTTGCAGAGACGTGCGTGGCGGAAGACGGCTCGCTGGCCGAAGCCCTATACATGCCGCCACGCTGGTCCCGGGCAGGCTGTGCTGTCCGGCGGAAGGGGGCGAGGAGGGGGGACGAGCTCCTGCGGCAGCCCCTCCGCCACCGCCTCGGCGGCCGCCAGCGCGGCGCCGCGGGGCGCCGCCAGGCTGACGGAGTGGCCCTTCAGCAGCAGCGCCGCCGCCTCGCACGCCGCCGACGGCACGTCGCCCTCGCTGGCGGCCACGACCACCGCGCAGCGCGCCGTGCCCTCGCTCCGCACGCCCAGGATGCCGCCCCGGTCGAGGACCTCGTGGCCCAGCGCAGCTAGCGCGCCGGCGCGGAGCGCGGCCTCCGTGCCAGGCGCGGCCGCGCGCTCTGCCACCGCCTGCGCGAGGCCCAGGCGCTCGGGCAGCTCCAGCGGGTGCGAGGGCCACGCCGACACCATGCCCGCCTGCCCGCGCACCTCGGGCTTGGGGAGGCGGCAAGGGGGGTCCTGAACCGCGCATGGGCCCCGAGAGAGCGAGCCAAGGAGGGGGGCTTACACGGGCAAATCTGCTCGAAACGGGCCCTGGGACCCCTCCCCAGGTCCATCTGGCGTGACGTCTCGCCCTGGATCCGTTTCTGCCGGTCCCATGGGGCCCGAAGACGGCCTCGGGAGGTTGCAACAGAAAACCTCACCTCTTGAGCAGGGACCGACCGTCCCGGCGTTCCTATAGGCCTACAAACATGTTCTAATAACATAACACATAAAACCGATGTGTTAAAACAAGACGGGCTCAGACAGAAGTGTTCTAAGGAAATGTCGTGCAAACCACAAAAGGTTCTTAAACAATTCTTTGGTGGGC